CGCGAATTGTTTGTGTTTTTTTTCCTCCGCCACTTCCTACACTAGTGACACCACTGACTCACGCGGTATCAGTCCAGGACCGCCACAGTCGTATATTGATCTACAGGTTTTGTTTCTCTTGTTTTAAGTAGTATCACCTCAAACATTTTTCTGAATTTTTCGGTTATTTCGCTTTTATCTGTAATCTATGTACCGTCTGGTTCTTTTAGGATGATCATTCTTGGTTTGTACCCGTTCTTTACGGTATACGTTTTTATATGAAACTTTGATATTACTTTTAAAATTTATCACTATGTCGTTGATGTAGCTCTTTTTCCATAGCCTTTTTCGGTTCGTATTATTTATTTATTTATTTATATTTATGCGGGCTAGGCCCAATAGATGAAGATTAAACAAAGACCATGAATGGTTTACAAAGTTAAGTTGTAAAGGTTGTACATCTTATAGTAAAAATACATAAATACATATTATTTTCTTAGTTTCTCGCTGTTAAATTGCTAAGGCTTTTGGGTTAGACTTGGGTTTTTATTAGTGACATTCTGGCAGCTTCTCATTCTTTAAGAGGTCTTATACATCTGTCGTTGAACCAAATTTTAAATTTTCTTCTTTCCTAAAAACCTAGTATCAATGTTTATGTTAATAATCCATACATTATATGCCTGATATAGGGATATCACGTTTTATAGAGTTGGTACCTAGGTATATGTTATAAGTGATAATCTTCAACAGCGAATCTCTTGAAAAAGAATTTGGAGGTTCCTCAAAAGTATTTGAACATTACCTTATTTAAAAATATCGAGAATATATTGTCGGAATTAATTGTATAAAATCTATTAATTTAATTGTATAGATCAAAGGTATTCAAAATTTTTCAGCACGCGGCTCCTTTGGGTGTTCACAATATTTTTACGGCTCCCAAATTATTATGAAAAAATTGAAACACAAGGATACAATATAGGAAATGTGTTATATGAATGATAATAACTGTGACTTTAGTACTAGAAATAAAATTTCAAATGGTTGAATCGTAAGGTGTGTCGTTTTCATTTCCATAATGATTGCAAATAATATGTATAATAATTATACAAGACCTAGGTATGATGTTGGTTTTCGGTGCTTTGACGCGGCTCCCTTTGCAAACTCTTGCAACGCGCCTGGAAGTCGTGACGCACAGTTTGTATACCTCTGGTATAGTTTTTTGATTTGCATGTTTTGATAAATTGTACATGTAAAATAATAATTTTCTATCGTTTTGATGTTATAGTTTAAAAGTATTACTATTGAGGTTTGAAACATTCCACCTACCACACAAGCCATTACTATAAGATGTATTATTATAGTTAAAATAAACTGATATCTTAATATTATGAAGATCAGTTAATGGTCATAAAACCATTTATTTTTATTTGTGAAGTTTCTAATATTATAGATTTTGAATTGTACATACGTAAATTAATTCATAATGGTTTTTGCAAGAATACAATCATTTGACTAAAATTCATTAAACTACAGAAATTTGTTTGAATTATAAATACATTTTTTATAGTGATTAACTGTAAAATATTAAAAATTAGTATATGATTTTCGGACTTACTTAATATATGGTTCACTGAAATTAAAAGAAATTTTTAATTTTGATAATATTATTTACGTCACTTGTAACGAGAATACCGTTATGCTGTATATAATATAACAAGAAATATGACTCCACGCAGACAGGGACGGCAACGTCAACACCAAAAACACACTCAATTAGAAAATATCAACAGAGCGCGTTAACCTCAGCCACCTCTATTGAAGTGGTTATGGCCAAGGCATATTTTTGTCCCTAATTTTGATATAATTTGCATAGTTAGTAAATATGTGATACCATTACATATTATATGCATCAAAAGTTACCTAATAAATATTATATAGTAAACATAGCTATGATTTAAAAGTAATAATCAAGTACATACAATTAATACTACTAATTTGGTCACACTACCAATGGATAGCATAAGTAGAGCCGTCTGAGCACGGCTAGGCTAATTATCTTTTCAACGCAGTTCACTACCGTACCTGTATGAAAAAGCTGATTAATGCTAGAAGAATGCTCCTTCAGAACTATCTTATCCTTTACTAGTCACTATTTATTGTATAGCCGCCCATTAGGTTAAGTTAAGTTTTCAGCAGTTTTCCATCGCCATTTAGAAGAGTACTGTCGTCTCCCATCCTAACCGTAAGTAGTGTGCATATTATACTCTCTGCGTCGTAGAATATGTTTTTGGCATATTATACTAGGTGCAGTGCAGAATATGTCATACTACTTACCTAGAAATCGCTTTGTCGAAGTGTCGGCCGATATTGAGCTCATCTGTTATACTGTGTTGCCGTACGTGGTATTTATTTTGTACACAGAAGACTAGAAAACATTTAGGGCTTTTGGTGCATAGCTGCCACACCATCTAGCGAATAGATTCCGTAAACTGTTACACACAATCATCGTCAATCATTGTGAGTCACAATTAAATATTCGAGTTATATGTATTTTTTATTGAAATCCTGAAAGGGCTTCGATTACCTCACACGATCTCATTGCSATAATATCTGGTCATTTCCTCATCGGACAACCGCTCCTAACAGCGCCGCACGTCCAAATAAACCTTCACCTAGGTTTCAATAAATCGCATTGTAAGTTGGTGGCTAATTTGCTAATTATAGGTATCAGTCAGTGAGTGATTAAATACGCTCAGAAATGATTAGAACAACGTCAAGGTAGATTATCTCGTCATTTTCGAAGCTTTGAGATAACCTCCATTTGTGTGGCATATGGAAAGCTATTTATATCATGAAAATATTTATACCGTTATTCAGTACGTACCATTATTTTGGAAAATTTTATATTTCACTTTTAATTTATTACATGCACAAACTACTTGTAAATGATTATATTAATACTCACTCATTGTTCTACAAAACTGTGGTGGATTCATTATGATAACTGTAATAAATGAATTAACGAATTAAAGAATATGTTATGAAATATGAGATTATGTTACCTTATTCACTTGTTATGAACCCCTACACTTGCCGCACGGTTATGCTCACTCAGCATATTATATGTGAGCGGACGTGCGAGTTCACACGATCGTCAGTATGTAATATTTAGAGCTACGAGTGTGTCATTATTCCGATTTTAATATTATAATGTGTTCAATAAAAAACCAGTAGTTATATACCAAGAGTTGAGTATAATTTATTTAAGGAAAACCTAACCGATTGTGTACTAACGCCTCAGTTCGGAATTACTAGTTGGCTAAACCTCGACAAACGGCAAACCACGAACTTTGTAAGCACGGGTTCAACTGAGCTTACAACAAAATTGGTGTCAGGTGTGGGGTTTACCACTCGTCAAGGAGCCAATTAACTAGTACAACTTCGGACTACATGATAGCCAAGTGGTCAGGTATACCGAGCGGTCAATTAATTCGAGTGACTAAGCAGCCAAGCAGTCGATTAACCAAACAGCCAAGCAGTTACATGATTCGGTCTACTCAGGGATACTTCAGTATGCAGACTCGGTGCCCATCGCCAAAGATTAAGACAACGTTACTGTGAGTCGTTGTAACTAAAGTAATACACAAATGTGGTGGTAATAACCAAAGAACAATAAAATAATAATAATAATTTCAACAATATACAATATCATTTTTTTTCTCATACAACACCACGCGTTCTTTGTTAAAAAAAAAAAATGTTACATATTATATACGTCTGTTTTATTCACGAATAAAGGAAATCGTGGCGTAACATAAGGCGTATTACATAGATATTTCTAACATTGGTTTTTTATATAAAATTGTGAATGTAAGCATTATAACCGGTGTCGTTATATAAGTGTGAAAAAAAATATATGTACATACGTAGGAGCGCGCAAATTTAGACATATACATTATATAATATACATATATGCACACCGTGTAGAGAATAGTGGGCTGGTTGTTCCATACGGCAATAATACCTAACAGCTTAAATAAAAAGGAGGGGTGAATGTCGACGGAGGATTTCAAAGATGAATACCTCCCGGTAGCTGCTTTTGATAGTGACAACAGTAGAGTAGGGGTAGAGTCTGGACCTAGGCCTTTCGTTATGAGCCGTCCTCGCACTAGAGCGTTCGTCAGCATAATCCCGACATACCAGCAGCGGTGCAAAGCGTAGGAACCAACACGGCGCGCGGACCAGTCGGTAAACAATAACACGCGTGATAACACTACTGACTTACATACCAATACGCACACCGACGAGTTAACGGAAACACACACACACACGTGCGCAACGACACGCGGACGACCAATAAAAATACTAACACAATAAACACGAAAAATACGTCTGAAATGGCTTTAGCACTGGGGGAAGCTTTTCGTTTAAACCCGTGCTTCGACGGCACAGTACCAACGGATATTTTACCTTTTGTTGGCGCATGCGAAATCGCCCTGACAAGGGTCTCCAATGGAAGCAGACAAATCTTGTTAAAAGTCATAAAAACCAAATTACGCGGGAACGCATATGCGAGACGTTGAGCAATGGGAATCGCTTAAAACCTTACTAGATGAAGAATCCTGCGTTCAACGGACCGCCACTCATGTTCAACTAGAATTAAATGCGACGCGGCAGCGGGAAGGAGATACGGTCAGCAGTTACTCAACCCGTATATAAACATTGTTCTACGAACTCTGCAACGCAAGTGTAGTCGGGAAAACGGCTGCCGAAGTCATAATTATCCGAGAACACATTAACATTATAAACAAGTAAATGAACTCCACAAAACGGAGTAATCACCACGAGTGACAGTCCTTGGAACGCACCTCTCTTAATCGTGCTAAAAAAGGTCAACGCTTTGGGAAAGCAAAAGTTAGGTGGTGGTCGTGGACTATAGAAAGCTCAACAGCATCACCATTGGTGACGCGTTCCCAATGCCCAATATCAATGAAATATTGGATCAACTAGGCAGAGTTAAGTATTTCAGCTGCCTAGACATGGCTAGCGGCTACCACCAGGTACCACTACACCCAAAGGCCAAAGGATCAAGAGAAGACTGCCTTTAGTACAAACCAAGGACATTTTCAGTTTCAAAGAATGTCTTTTGGACTAAAAGGGGCACCTTCGACGTTCCAACGTCTGGTCAACAGATTACTAATGGGTATAAATGGTTTCCGGGCCTTCGTATATCTGGATGATGTGATAGTGATATCGATCCAAGAACACGAAGAGCGGCTCAGGGAGGTATTTGACCGCCTGAGTCAATATAATCTCAAGTTGCAGCCGAGCAAGTGCGAATTTATGCGACGGGAAGTAAATTACCTAGGTCACATTATATCTGAAGAGGGCATAAAACCAGACCCTAACAAAACATCGTGTTAACTTTCCAGTTCCACGCAACCCGAGGGAGGTTAAATCTTTCCTGGGACTAGCAGGTGACTATCGAAAGTTTGTCAAAGATTTCAGCCAAATATCCAAATCACTCACCATGCTTCTCAAGAAAGAAGCGAGGTTCGAGTGGACGGACATGTGTCAACACTCCTTCGAGACGCTTAAGGGGGTCCTTACCACCAAACCACTACTACATCACCCGGATTTCTCTCAGCCATTTCTGATTACTACAGATGCGTCAAATTCGGCGATTGGGACCGTGTTATCGCAAGGACGAGTGGGATCGGATTTACCAATATCCTATATATCAAGAACACTCAACAAAGCGGAGGCAAATTATAATACGACAGAAAATGAATTTCTGGCCATTGTGTGGGCCGTAAAACAATTCAGACGTTGCGTATTTTGGCACAAGTTCTATATCGTCACTGATCACCGACCATTAACTTGGTTATTTTCAGTGGCCGATCCGGGCGCGAGACCATCCGCTGGAGGCTCAAGCTAGAGGAACATGACTACGAAATAATTTATAAACCGGGAGTTCTCAATACCAACGCAGACGCTTTGAGTAGGATACCATACATAAAATAGTTCAATTATCGGGAAAATGCTTACGAAAACTTTGTACGCAACGATTCTCCGGTAGTTAACCACCGAGTTATGGAGCTGGAAGGAGATTTATTCGAAGCGACGCAAGACTATGCACTAGCCCAGTGGTCTTCAACCGGTGGGTCGCGACCCATTTGAATTTTAAATTGGGTCACGATAAGTCTTCTTTTTTAAATAAAAATAAAATTTTTAAAATTATAAAAGGTAAAAAATTAATTTTTTAATAATTTAATTTAGAAATTTAATAAACTAAAATACAGTTTAAAAATAATAGTGTAGTTGTGTATTATGTATCAACAATATTTTATAATTTATTGTTATTCTATATTCTATTCTATAATATTATAATGAATATTAAATCATGGTATAATGTTTCATATTACACTGGTATGATTGTACGTAGTAAGATATTGAGATAAGAATTAACGAATAAACTGTGTTATAGAATATAGAATATTAATAAAAAAAACCTAACTAATATTATAGAATTAATATACATTGTTATCGTTAGAGCCCCATAATCTACGAATATTATCGATGTTGTTGCTGTGTTTAAAGACGAAGTATAATAAATGTTAGTCGCGTTATTATTTTATTCGTATTTAGTCGTAATATTGCAATGCATTAAGCAATTTTCAATTTTTTATAAAGCTTACGTGGGTCGCGAAAAATGTAGGCCTAAAAATGTGGGTCGCGAGTCCAAAAAGGTTGAAGACCACTGCACTAGCCCATTGTGTATCCGAAGATTTAGACATGTCCCGTGGATTAGCCCTGGAATTCGATCGCTGTTTTGGACATACCGACGTTCTCAAGGGACAACAAAAAAGAGTAACAGAAATAGCACAATTGGAACACGTAGGCCAAAAACTGTTATATCTAATAACAAAGGAGAAATTTTTCCAAAAGTCGACGTATGAAAATCTATACAAAACTCTCCAAACCCTGAGAAGCAAGGCAGAACAAGAACTGATCTCACACATCGCGATGCCACGTATTGGATGTGGGCTGGATCAACTCAATTGGGACAAAGTCAAAGCCATGTTTATCATATTACCATATTATTACGTATTTAAAGGGTCACGAATAAAAATAGTAATTTACTGTCACCAGAGATATAGTCCCGAAGAAAAACTTAAAATTCTCGAAGAATTTCATAATGGGGTGCTAGGACGCCAAGGGATCTCCAGAACCATAAAGTGGATCAAGATGCAACATTCCTGGAAGAGACTAAAGGCAGACGTAATAGACTTTATCAAGAAATGTCAATCTTGTCAGGTCAACAAAGCCAGTAATCACACAGTGAAACAACCTATGGTCATCACGATTACAGCCAGAGTTTCATTTGAGAAAATATTCATGGACATAGTTGGACCAATTACCACGTCCTATAAGAACAACTCTTACATCCTCATAATACAAGACGACCTAACCAAATATTCACTTGCTATACCGATACCTAGACACGACGCAAATACAATAGCTAAAGAGTTTGTCGAAAAATTCGTATGTTTCCACGGAGCGCCAAAATCCATCTTAAGCGACCAAGGCGCCGAATTTCTAAGCAAAGTGTTTACGACATGTTGTAAACTATTAAATATAGAAAAGTTTCACACCTCGGCCTATCATCCACAAGCAAATGGAGCGCTGGAACGCAGTCATAGGACACTGGTGGAATACTTACGTCACTATGTGGACAAGAGCCTTTAGGATCCAGGAATGCGAAAAATTGTACGAGAAAACAGCTGCCTGTAAACATTTTGTAGTCCATACGCGTGCTATATTGCAACAAATTGAAAGCAACTACCTACGTGTCTTATCTTCGATTCCGCGACAGTTATTCGATAAACTGTTACACGATGAAATGTTGGCGAGGAAGTTTAGAGCGATGAACTAGCGGCGATGAATTGACGCACAACGAATAGGCTCGCGATGAAAGGACGGTGTACCCTTATTTATCTTCAGTCCATAAAACTGCACACAACGTAAAAAAAGAGGCTTATTTAACGCTGCCGTTAGAGTAGCTAATGTACTCTTCGGTACATGTGATAATGATGCTAAAAAGTTCTACAACCAAATAAATGAGTTCAACCAGTTTAAGCTGTCCATTTCTCATGTGATGCAATCCCAGACCACAATAATCAGAAACACGGTGAACGACATCAACGAGACAATGCAGAGAGTGGCGAAACAAACCGAAATTGTCGACGATTTCATAACAAATGAGCGGATAACGGAGATGCAATCAAACCTTATACTCAAAATCAGTCTTCTTTCGATAAAAGTAGACAATTTGGTAGACATTGTTAATTATGCAACGCTCGGACATATCCACAGTAATATAATGAGTCCGAAAACCATCACACAACAAATGAGTCATATTAAAAGCAAATTACCGCCAAATTCAGAATTCCCGTTAGAAATAAGTACCAATAGTATATCAGATTTTTTTAAAGTAGTTACGGTTACAGTGATAAGTTTGGACGACACATTAATTTTCTCTATTGAAATACCCATCACAAATGGAATGAGATTTATGATCTATGAAGTCATACCACTACCTTTGCAGTTAACCCAGGATCAAGTGATTATAATCGAAGCTAAATCAGCATACTTAGCTGTGGACAAGGCGCAAAAGAATTTTATTTCATTCGAGGAACATCAGCTGACAAAGTGTATGGTTCTAAAGAACGCGTTCGTTTTTCCAAACGAACACCCCATCGACGTCAATCACCAATTGCAAAATTGTGAGCAAAACCTTTTTATAGTCTATCTAGTATACCCAGTAGTTGCAACAAAAAAATTCTCCTTTCGAAACCAACAGTCTGGCACATACTAGCTGTCGAGAATACATGGCTGTTCGTAGTCCAAAACGAAGCCATTACAATACCATGTGAAAATGAAATACAACCTATAAGGGTAACGCTAAACAACATCGGGAAAATAAGTATCAACCCCAAATGTAAAATATACACAAAAAATGCAATACTGATTCCCACGTGAAAATTCAAATCAAAAGTCTTCATTGATTTTTTCCCTTATATTCCTTTAGATGTAATTCCAATTAATTTTAATAATACCGGATCCGTAGGTAGACGACAAATCTTTCATAATAAGGGCATTCAGTATAATTTTAAGAATTATAGGGACACGGAAGATTTGAAATCCTTACAGGAACAGATAAATGCCGAGCTAATTATTAATAATAATCAACAAAGACACACTTACACCATGACAACGGTGACTATAATTGTAATAATAATAACTCTAATTATAGGGACACGGGAGATTTGAAATCCTTACAGGAACGGATAAATGCCGAGCTAATTATTAATAATAATCAACAAAGACACACTTACACAATGACAACGGTGACTATAATTGTAATAATAATAACTCTAATTATATTAGTTATAAAATATTTATTGTATAGAAAATTAAGTGCCTTAAAAGTAAATGGGGACCCGGGGGCACCGGAAGTCCTAACGTCTTATCTTCAACATTGAGCAGCAATACAGAGGCAAACCCTATAGCTTGCACAACGACAGGCACAAGGGCGAAAAGCCTATTGCCCGAAATAATTTTAAAAAATAAAAAGCCCATAGGACAATAGAGCTTTCGTTTAGCCCCGGAGGTGTTGTGAACCCCTGCACGTGCCGCACGGTTATGCTCACTCAGCATATTATAATATGTGAGCGGACGTGCGAGTTCACACGATCGTCAGTCTGTAATATTTTATATTTAGAGCTACTAGTGTGTCATTATTCCGATTTTAATATTATAATGTGTTCAATAAAAAACCAGTAGTTATATACCAAGAGTTGAGTTTAATTTATTTAAGGTAAACCTAACGAATTGTGTACTAACGCCTCAGTTCGGAATTACTAGTTGGCTAAACCTCGACAATCGGCAAACCACGAACTTTGTAAGCACGGGTTCAACTGAGCTCACAACACACTTGTTGAGTTATAAATATAAAAATACAAACAACAATACAACAAATTTAGGACAAATTGTCAAATTCTATGACTAATTATGAAAACAAATTCATTGATGAATAATACTTACCACTATTTGATGCTTTTAAGATTCTTTTATAAATTGGTAATAAATAACCTGTCAGTAATATTTTAATATTAATATTATATTTCATTACGTTTACAATCTGATAGTTATTTTATTTTAAAATCAAATAAATAAATTAACTCAATGAAATTTTAATAAAATATAAAATGTTGCAATTTTATTATATCCAGATAAGCTGTTACATTTGTACCCAATCAATATTTTTCTAAATACTTGATTAATAGAAAAAATACTGACCCGTTAGAGTTATAAGTATATTATAAGTATTATTATATTATTATATTATAAGTCTCACCATTGATTTTATAATATACTATATTATAAAATCAATGGTCTCACTTATACCTAAATAAAGAAAGAAAAGAAAAAACAGACAAATATATAAATATATTATGAATAGACAAAAACTACACAACTATTAATAGAAATATATAAAAGTAACTATGATGATATATACAACAAAACTCTGTACTCAAGTAAAAAAAGTAATTAAGTGATTTCTTTTAGTATCAGTTATCAAAAACACATTTCATTTTGTTTTTCATTCGGTAAACATGTTATCATAATTTTTATTGTTATACAGGGGGTCCAACTATTATATTTATTTGAGATTTTTTAATTTTTTAATGACCAAGTTATTGGCTGTGTTACAATAATTGTACCACGTTACAAATTTTACCCAGTCCCCCTACTACTATCACATATTATATAAAACCCATAGATATTAAACATATGAATACGGCATTTCTTTATCCAGCGACACGATAGTGTTGCGAGCTAAGTAAAAAAAAAGGAAGGCGAAGCACTCGACCGTGTTATATAAACAGAAACCTAAACATTCCCATTTAATAATGCTAATGGAATCCAAAAATTATCAAAAATGTTGTACTTTTAAAAATGTATTGTTTTAAATTGTTAAAATTACAATATTTAGATAAATAATTTAAGAACTATTTAGTAAATGATTGGTACCCATGTTTTAATTTTAAAAAGTTTTATTAATATTTAAACAGTTTTATTTTATATTAGACAGTTTAGTTGTTGTTTACTATACGATATTCAGGTTAGGATTGAACCACTCGGCTGACCAAAACCCTTCTCGTTGCCGCTAGACACCCAGACACCAGCTCCCCTCGGACCACACCAATCTGGGAGCATATACATGCACTGTCTATATACACAGTAGCAAACTAAAAACACCGACGACCGTGAGTACCGATGATTGTCAATCCAATACCAATAACAAAACGCAAAGCGATCGCATATTGGACACTAATTGAATAATCTGCAGTCTACGTGCGCGAGTGGTGCAGTCTTAACCTGAATAGTTCTACATATATATATATAATATAGATTAAAAATTAATTTACTATTTTCTCCAAGTAAAAATTCTTTTTCAGAAGCATACATCATTTCACTATAGCTTCTTTTCTTGTCATTGAATGTAGATTCTGGAATCGTGTTGTTGGATGTTGTACCAGAATTATTAACAGTTTTTCTCAAGTTCAATTTTGCTTTCGCGTAACTCAGGAATTCATTAAAGTTTTCTGGAATATCCGATTTTTCATGAAAATGATCCACAAATTTTAATTACCGAAAAATATATGAAAAAAAAAATTGATGATGTATATTTTAAGGTTGGTAATAAATAATTTAACAAAATGTATTTTATTTAAAAATAAGCATCCGATATTCTTTAAATTGAAAGAATATATAACCACTCTTATAATTACTTACCAAATTGCTTTGCAAAATTGTAATTAAAGAATCCAGATCCAGCTATGAACAATATGACATCATATTATTTATTAAACTATTGTAAATTAAGCGCAGATTCATTGACGATTCTTAAATTAAATATTAATGGGTATTCGGTACAATATATATATATATGTGTTATGGGCAAAAGTCGAAATCGGGCAAACCTCAGAAATGCCTGGGCAAAACGCGAACTGCCCACAATCCTTTGGCAAAATGTCATATTTCGGCTTTTGACCGGGCAAACCTAGTTATACACGTGTTATTTGTTTAGGTTTTTAAACAAATACATGTTGTTTTGTAATACGTTTAATAATTGTTGTCAATATAAATAATTCTTTTCTCACGACGGTTCTGAGGACCAAGCGTTCGGCGTACGCCGTTCATACGGCTCGCTGGGGCACAATGTGTAGCAACAAATAAACAAAAGTATTATTATTTTTTTTTTTTTTTGGCAAGGAGAACCCGCGGCAACATAGGTCATTGGGTGTGGGGTGGTATGGTAGGGGTTATTTTTGTATATTTTTATGTAGGTTTTTAAGTGGGTAGGGTTGTAACACGTGTTTGTGTATGTGTGGCATGGACGGTGTTTCCGAATTGCGGACAAAAACCGTAAAAACATGCGAGTTGCGGACGAAATCTAAAAAGGTAACATACGAATTGCGGACACAAATATAAGATACTAATTGCGGACAAATTACCTATTATTATTATTAAGTCGTCCTAATATATATCAATTGATCGAGGCCCTAAATGAAGTACAGACTAGTAGCTATACGAAAATGAATTGTTCTGCAGTGCGAAATTTAAAACGAGCAAAAATAACTGTTGAAAAAAAGGCATTTATTAGCAATCAAATTTTGCAATATTCACGTGGTGAAATCAGTAGAATATCATATATACAGGCTGTTTCAAAAATTTTTTTACCAAAAGATCTATAAATATTATGACGATAAATAATGACGATAATCTATAAGTATTTTATAAACAATTTTTGCTACAAAATTAAAACATTAAATAATTTAACAACATTTTAATAATAACGATTGTTCTTTTACAAGACACAAATATTTTTAACCCCACCTACCAAACTTTTTGGTAGCTTGGCCTAAGTCCTGAAAAAGTGGTGAAGGGAAATATTTGTGTCCGCAACTCACCTGATTTGAGAAATGTGTTTGAGAAAAAAAACTCTGTACGCAACTAGTACTACGATAACGAAACTCGTGTCCGCAATTGTTATGTTACAATWTTGACCTGAATAATTTCGTCCGCAACTAGTATGTGTCCGGCATGGATATGTTGCTAAAAATCTCGGGTAAAAAACCCATCCGGGAGCTAGCAACTGCGGCCGGTACGTACGCTCAGCGCGTTTCCGCAGATTGAGCGTACGACCGCGCCTCACCAAGCCACTTTTTTATTATTATATTCAATTATATCTGTACAATATTTTTTATTAATTATTTATTTTAACATTATAAGAAAATCTAATATTATTATATGTTTATTTTTATACGAGAACTTAATATCACTATATTTTTATTGTTATGTAAGTGTATTCAATTATATCTGTACAATAATTTATGACTATTATTTTTTTGTATGTGGTTATTATAAACGCTACAGTTTGGCTCAAGTGAGGTTTAAATGTATTAATTAAGTTTATTCAATCAGGCGCGTAGCCAGGGGGGTGTTACAGGTGTAATAACCCCCCCCCCCTAAGCCGTGGTATACTTAATATTTTTTATCAAGATAAAGATGCATCATAAGCACGAATTATCTTAAATCGTGATTTACACTTATTTATCAAAATGAAGTACCTATGCTAGTTTATATTACGATAACAATAATGTAAAGCACTAAAGCCGGGATCCGGCATTAATTACTATTTTAGACCGTTCTGTGACGTTTTATCGATTACTCGTTTCATGCACGATTTAATATAATATCTTTTTATGCAGCGTGTAAGAAGACGTTTACAACTTCTTAATTATTGATTATTTAATTATCATGATGATGTATCATATTAATTCATATACCTACCTATGTAAAGTTATCAATTTTGTGTTTATAATTTTTTCAATTAATTTTGAATAACACCCCC